ATTTGTTTTTCATTTTTCTCAAAGTTTATTTCTTTGGGAGAGAACATATTAGTATGTCTATAGGCAAGACCAAGCATTTTCTCATTCAGGTAATGCCTTGCTTTGTTGGTTTCTCCCTCTCCCCCATCTCCAGACCTTTCTCACTGCTTTGGTAAACCACTTCAATCAAGATCCATTCTCCTTTTGTGGATGGCTCCAGTAAGGAGCTACTTTCTTTTACTTGTGAGAACCAGGATTAGAATCCTGTAAGGTGTTGAGTTGTCCAGCTTGATGGGTCTGTTGTGTCAACTCTGGTGACTGCTCTTCTGGTTTTATACAGAAGTCACATCTCAAGAGACCACACAGATTAGTAGTCACTGTGAATTTTTCAAAGGGCAGGGATGGAGAGAGAGAAGGAGATATCTGGCGTATTATGTTTACCCACTGGTCCAACCACACTGATCAGCCACCACATAAAAGCCTGTGTCCTGAAAGATACTAAGAAGTAGCAGAAGTCTGAAGTACTTACTTTGGATTTGAGAGCTTGACCTTGTGCCATAAGCTGAGACATTTGAGGAAGTGACGTTTGAGCTTGTTTGCTGGTTGATTCTGTCGGCAGACAATTACGGAACTTTCTGTATCGCTGTCCTATGTAGCTTGGCTCAAGCCAAGGGTTCAAGGGCACAAGACTGTAGAGTGGACCACTGCAGGCTCCCAGGACCTTGACGATGGCTGAGACCCACTAGGGACCTTCATCACACCAGCATGATATACCTTAGTGGAGAGACGGAACAGTCAAACACCACCAAACCAAACTAAAGCACAACAACTACAAAAATCAGGAATGGGATGATTTGGGGTCTTGTGAGGAAAATGGATCCTGGTAGTTGTAAGACATCCTTTCCCCCTTGAACCTAATGGAAGAACAGGAGGTGGAAGTCTGGATCCAAGTAAGGAATCTGTGAATGCTTTAAGCACTGAGATGCATTGTGGAGCCTTGGTTAACGGTTCCAGAGCAGACCTTCTCACAGGATGGGGGAAGTCACTTAGAACTAGAGGCACCAAGGAGCACCTGGCTGGCACAGTTGGTTAAGTGTCTAACATTGACTGAGGTCATGATCTCATGATTCATGCGTTCTAGCCTTGCATGAGGCTCTGTGCTGACAGCTCAGAGCCTGGAGCCTGCTTCAGATTCTGTGTCTCCGTCTCTGTATCTGCCCGTCCCCTGCTTGCACTCTGTGTGTATGTTGTCTCTCTCTCTCTCTCTCTCTCTCTCTCTCTTTCTCTCTCTTTCTCTCTCTCTCTCTCTCAAAAATAAACATTAAATAAAGGAATAAGTCACCTCTCTTTAAAGAGAGAGGCGATGCCTTTTCCAGGGGCAGTTTGAAGTGAATAATGGTGACTTTTAGGTAGTTGAAGGGAAATGTATGCTCCCCACGACTTCAAGTTTGAAGTTGTGGTGGAGAAGTAAATAGATGGTAGTGTTGCTGCCATTCGGAAATGGTTGATCAGTGAGAAGATGTGCAAAGGGTACAAGTAGAACACAGATTTATAGATACAGAGAACAAGCTGGTGGTTGATAGAAGGGAAGGGGTGAGGGTTAAGTAAAAAGCTGAAGGAGATTAAGAGGCACAGACTTCCAGTTACAAAATAAATTAAGTCTCAAGGATGAAAAATACAGCATAGGGAAAATAGTCAGTAATATTGTATGGTGACAAATGGGGACTGCAAATGGGGTGAGCATTGAGTAGTAATATGTATGTCAACTGTACTTCCATTTAAAAAAGTAAATAAAAACTTAAAATTTAAAAGATAATGAAAACAAGGGTAGATGTAAAATAAATGTTTTGGTGTATTTGTTTTTGCTGTTATCCTTGTCCTTACTCTCAGCAGGAGCTGCTACCTTATATGACTATTGACAAGTTTCCCAAGTCAGCTGAGAATACATCATCAAAGTGACATAAGGAAAGAATGGAAAGTGGCAGGCAGGATCAGAGTGTTAAACAGATATCCCATTATTGAGGTCATAGTCTGGTGGTTATACCTGTCTAGCCTGGAATATTCAGAACTGATGAGTTAGGGTGGAAAGAGGGCAGGATTAGCTTTCACTAGAGGTATTTTAGAGTCACCTAAAATATGATGAATAAGATGGGGATGTCACATCTTAAAAATATGCAATGTGAGAAATATGCACACTGGCTCAGTCAACGGAAGGATTCAGAGACTTGGAGCGCAGTGAAGGGGGGCTTTAAGCAACATTCTTGCAAGAGCAGGTGTCTGATGGATAGGCACACTCAGGGCAGTTACAGAAGGCAGTTTATTTCATGTACAGGTTGCTCCCCGGTTTTTCTCATTGTCTGAGTACTACAGACGTTACAGCCTTACCTGGCCATTGCCTATGTCCACGTAAGGTAAAAAGTAGTCTGATTGGACATTTCCTAAGGTGATGATGTGACTTCAGTTGTTTGGTGCATGCTCATTGCAAGCCTACAAAAAATAAGCCCGGGAAACGGAGAAGGGAAGAAGAACCGGGAAGTGAAGTGTCTGAGGGTTTGGCACTCCATTATGGGGTGGGGGAGGTTCATACATATTTGTCAACCTACTGTTAACTAGACAGTACAGCTTTTATTTGGTATTTCTGAAAATGAATCATCTATCTTGTGACATGCAGGACACACTGGGATTGGAGAATGGATTCAGAGGACAAAAAGATCTTGCATCATGAAGTTGGATTTGCAGAGCTGGAGAGGCCCAGATTTTATTCTGATTAGGGGAAGTCATTGTGAGAGGATCTCAGCAACTGGATACAGCCATTTTAGTACTAGAATCTGGAATGTCATTAGCATGAAACAGGGCTCAAGGGCTGAGAATTCCTGCTAGTAATATAGCAGTAAGTTTGTCAAAACAATACTGGATTAGTAACTGGTTAGTGTGTAGAAGTGACGTGTTAGGTACTTTGAAAGACTGGGAATGCAATGATGGCAAAGAGGAGAGATAGGTCCTCACAAGTAGATAGTGGCTGGCATCTTACATTGCCAGGGGCTTACTGATGATTGGTTAAAAGTTAAGTGTAAGTGGCTCTTCTAGGCAGGGCAGGGAAATGTGGACAGGTTTTTTCCAGGCTGTCCCCACTGGTTGCTAAATCTACCTCATGTAGTACCTTATTTCCTGTAGTCTGTTCCCTGGGTCTCCAGGAGAATGTAGGAAAAATTTATTTTCCCTGTCTCTTTATTCCTCCGCAGCTCTGTGACGTTATTTACTGTGCACTGAAACAAACCTAGATTCTTGGCCTGCTGCTCTGTGGCTTATGTAGTCTATAAAACCATCAAATATTTCCACTTTGAGTAGGGGACAAAGAGAAGGATAGACTTCCATGTTCATATCATTCACTCATTCATAGGTACTGACCCTGTCCTTGGACAGCTTAGAAAACATATCCCCGCTTTGTACCATTTGTCTCCTTAAGGCATATCTGCTTGGATGTGGGATAGACCTCAAAAACCTCTTTCCAGTAGCCTGGGCAATCTGTGTCTGTGTCCATGTTTGTTTACCTCAGTAGACTCTGTGTTTTCATGTACATAAATACAGTAATACCATAACTTGAATATTTTCATGTCCTGGTAGTCTAATCAGTGTTTCAATGACAGCACACCTACTACCACCATTATGTAAAACGTATCGGGTGGCATATCCATTCCTGTAGTCATCTGTGCTTGCACTTAGTCTGCTTTACTTTTTTTTTTTTTTTACTCCTACTGCTGTACTCAGATCCACCCAAACTCATCTCTTGGGCCCTGAACTCTCAAAGCACTTCTTTCCTGTGCCTTCCTACAGCAGTCAGTAAAGAGAAGCTTTATTCATTTGCCGTGTGTGTGTGGTGTGTGTGTGTGTGTGTGTGTGTGGTGTGTGTGTGTGTGTGTGTGTGTGTGTGTGTGTGTGTGTGGTGTGTGTGTGTGTGTTTCATACATGCATGTGTGGACTTGGAATTCTCATATTTTGCCATTTAGTACCAAACAGAAGTCTGGAATTACTGAATTTGTTAATTTGGGAGTGGATGCACTTTAGCAAGGTAGAAGGAAAGGATGATGTGTTTCCCTTTGGAAAGAAAAGTGCTCAGTCAGCCTAATTGTTTTAATTGATGTATTTGCACAGTGCATATAGGTGTGCCTTTAATTTTTGCATTGGTGTAGGACTCTGAATTCTATAAAGGTTAAAAAAAATTTTTTGATACTTATTTTTGAGAGAGACAGACAGGGACAGAGTGTGAGCGGGGGAGGTGCAGACAGGAAGGTTGACACAGAATCTGAAGCAGGCTCCAGGCTCTGAGCTTTCAGCACAGAGCCCGACATGGGGCTCACACTCAAGGGCCTCAAGATCATGACCTGAGTTGAAGTCAGATGCTCAACCACCTGAGCCACCCAGGTGACCCGAATTCTGTAAGGTTTTTAATTTGTTGGTCCGGTAGGTAGCTCTGACCAGGAAGCTAGGCAGTTTTTATGTCTGTGCTTATCTGAGTGTCCCCAGGAAACTTGGAGATGATCATGATTTTTATTTTAATGATGATAGATGTGGGCCTGGGAAAGGGGTTAGTAGAGTAAACAAACTAAATACGAACTGAATAGGTGGATAGCTGGATAGGTGTTGTAGGCCTGGACTTTCAGCTGGGTCAGTGCTTTCTCATCATATGAACTAGGTGGAAGCCAAGCTTTAGCACTGTACACAAATGGCCTGGGAATTGGGAGGCTTGTAAAGCCCAGAGTTACCGTAATTGATTGAGCTAGTGAAGCTTAAATTCTACAGGTGTGGAAAGGGAAAGGGAGTGGTCATGCCTTCCCGGGCTGTGGGTATGTATTAAATAGACTCGTCTTTGTGTAGCACCTTGCACAGGGTTGGATCTGCAACAGTGGAAATAATTGACACTTAATTGTTTTGTCAATTCCTTTGTGATCATTTAACTCATTCTGCCCTCTTATCAGCTCTGTCAGGTGTAGGAATATGCTATAATTACTCCCATTTCACAGGGGATGCATCACCTCACATCTAAGCTGGAGGGGACAGTATTTGAACTCAGCACTTTCTTGTACCACAGAGAGCTCAAGCTTAAGTTACCTTTGCTTAACGTGCCCTTCTTTACCCACTTCCTGTGCATACCAGAAGCAATGCTAGTCGCAAGCAGGTAAACCTCACTCACTCCTTCCAGCCTAAAGAGAAAGGGGGGAGTGGAAGACTTATAGAGGGAATGTGGGAACTGATAAAAAGAGTAGCTCCTGGAGTCCATTTAGTGTGCACCATTAGGAGGTTTTCTAGTTTGGCTCTTGTTCCCCGTTCATACTTTACATTTACCCAAAATGTTGTCCTGAGACTCCTATGAGGTTTACAGTAACTTTTAAATTTCGATAAGCTGATTAAAGTAGCAAGTTTGGAAGGGGAACCCACTTAGTCACTTTTATTTTTTTTTTATTTTTATTTATTTATTTTTATTCACTTTATCATTTTTAAGAGGTGGTAGATACTCTGTGGGGAACCCGAGTTACATGCAATGGGTGTTGTTCTACACAAATGTATTATATTTATTTGAACTAGCATTTATTTGAACTAGCATAGTATACCATTTGAAACCCCAAAAAAATCTCTTCTGGAGCATAGTAGGCCTTGGATAACCATTGGAGTGATTATTCCTGTACTTGGTATGAGGCATTTGGAACAGCCCGCAATCCTACATGATATTTGAATACCATCCTGTCTTGATGATTACAGCTTTGCAGTGCAGGCTAAAGTTTGTGGTTGTGGTGACTCCACCTTTGGTCTTCTTTTTCAATGTTATCTTTTGCTATTCATTTCTTTTCTGGTTCCATACAAATTTTAGCATTGTTTGTTCCTAAAAAAAAAGTAGCTGTGTGAAGAAAGCTGCTATTATCTCAATGTGTAGATTGCTTTGGGTAATGTCAACATTTTAACAGCTTGTGGTCTTCCAGTGCATGGACTGCTTTTCCCTTTCTTTGTGTCTTCTTTAGTTTCTTTCATAAGCTTTGTGTAGTTTTCATCATACAGATCTTTTACCTCTTTGGTTAGGTCTATTCCTATTTTATGGTCTCTAATATAATTATAAACAACGTAATTATAAACAGGATCAATTCCTTGGTAATTCTTTCTGTTGTTTCATTACTGATGTATAGAAATGCAACTAATTTCTATACGTTGATTTTGTACCCTGCGACTTTGCTGGATTCATGTTATCAGTTCTAGCAGCTTTTTGGTGGGGTCTTTCAGGCTTTCCATGTAGAGTAATATGTCATCTAGGGAAAAAAGCAAATCTAGAAATGTGTAATCAAAGAAGTCTCATCTGAGGAAGTGAATTCTTGATTCCAATCTACCATGCTTAGAGCCAAACTGGGTGGACATTCAGTAGTTTCTTTTGTGACAGTAGAAACTTTTGTGACCTTATTGCATGCCTAGTTATATTTTTACCTACCAGACATTTGTCTCCTCACCTTATGGGCAAAACCATTCATTTATGGGCAGATACACATCCATTTGTGGAAACAAAAGCACAAATGCATACCTGTGCACTCAAATGTAGCATCCCCCCCCCCACACACACACACCCCTACTTATCGTTGAGTCACCTTCACCTCCCAGCAAGTTCAAGACTCTTGCTCGCTCTTCCCCTGGCCAAAGAGGTTGGCATGGCGGATACATTTTCAGTTCCTAATTGCATATAAAGCCAGAGATGTTGGATGCAATGTTCTATTTATGTTCAGTAGCCTAGTTTATCAGTTGTTTTCTTGTACTCTTCTGTTTTGCTGTAGCTTGTTTTATCTGCTTATTCTATCAACTCCAGATCACTTCCAATTTATCTGTTAAATTGTCCTTCAAGGAATGCAGTTTGGGCCATTTCTCCTTGTATATGTGCTAGTTTCACACTTAACTACTTTGTGACTGTTAAGACATGCAAATTAAAAGTACTATATCTCCCATGAATTTTATCCTTTTGTTTAGTATTCAATAGTGTTTTTAAGTTCGTTTTCACTTTTATGGTATCTGTAGGTCATAGCTAAATGCTGATAAACCTGAGCTATATTTGTGTTTTCAATACACTATACTTCCGGCTTTTTGTGTTGCCCATTTAAAGTTGATGTAATCTGGGGGCGCCTGGGTGGCGCAGTCGGTTAAGCGTCCGACTTCAGCCAGGTCACGATCTCGCGGTCCGTGAATTCGAGCCCCGCGTCGGCTCTGGGCTGATGGCTCAGAGCCTGGAGCCTGTTTCCGATTCTGTGTCTCCCTCTCTCTCTGCCCCTCCCCCGTTCATGCTCTGTCTCTCTCTGTCCCAAAAATAAATAAATGGTGAAAAAAAAAATTAAAAAAAAATTAATAAAAAAAACAAACAAAAAAAAAATAAAGTTGATGTAATCTGTTGATGCATGTTACTTTTCAGTGGTGCTTTCTACTTGTCCAGCCTTTTGAGTACAGTTTTTTTCCCCTGCCGTATTTCACATCTTTTGGATTGGTTAGTTTTTTTTAATGATGCTGTCTTTTATTTCTCTTTCCTTAGTGAATTTAAACCATTTCTCACTGTTATTTTAATGGTTACTGTTGAAATTACAGCATGAATATTGAAACCACCCAAGGTCAGAAGTACTTAGCTTTTTTGTCCTTTTCTAGGGCAGAAGAAGGGCTTGAGAATTCCATACTCCTCTCCCTTATACCCTATTGGCAAATGACAGGTTTCTGGCCTTATTTTGGAAGATTGTGTATTTATAATTATGATTTAGGACTTGGATTTTACCTGTATTAGACCTTTTCACTTAGTCTGACTCATCTACTCTTCTGTTTTTGTTATTATTGTTTGTTTGTTTTGTTTTGCTTTGCTTTCCATGGTGAGTTCTCAGCAGTTTCTTCTCAGCAGCTTCCATTTCTAATTTTCTTTTCAACTTGAGTGTATAAATAAATATATCCCTTAAACCCATTCCACTTGGTTCTTAATTTCATTCATTGCCTTATTTATTTTCTGAAAGATTTTTTTATGATTGTTTTTCACATCTACTTGATCACTTCTGCAAGGTTCTTTTTGTCCTTGAAGACATCTTTTCACTAGTTTCAAGTTCTAAGGTCTGTGTGAGCCTGACTGTTGTAGGTAGTTTTCCTCTCCCACTCCTTCTCCGTCTCCTTCTCTCTCTCCCTCTCAAAATTTCTTTTATTTATTTGTTTGTTTGTTTGTTTGTTTATTATTTATTTATTTATTTATTTATTTATTTATTTATTTGAGAGAGAGAGGGTGCAAGTGAACAAGGGACAGAGAGAGACAGAATCTCAAAAGGGGGAGATGAGAGAGAGAGAGAGAGAGAGAGAGAGAGAGAGAGAGAGAGAGAGAAGAGAGAGAGAGAGAAGAGAGAGAGAAATGGGTCTCCCCCAGAACTCATGTTTTACCCGACTGGTGCTCTTGCTCACCCAGTGTGGGAACTGAGCTCACCAGAAGTGGGGCTTGAGGTCACCTGGAGTGGGGCTGGAGGTCATCCAAAGCAGGACTGGAGGTCATCTGAAGTGAGGCCTGTGCTCACTCAAAGTGAGGCTCGAGGTCACCCAAAGTGGGGCTTGACTTACCTGATGTGAGACTCAACTCAGGAACTGTGAGATTATGACCTGAGCCAAAGTCAGACTTAACAACTAAGCCCCCCACTACCCGGTGAGTCTATATTGTGTTGTGCACTATATGTAAAAATATGGTTTCTTTAAGAATGCCACGAAGGAGAGGATGATCCCGCCTTCCTTTTTAAGTCATGTTGCATTTCATTTGAATGGTGTCTGAGGTGTCTCTTGGTTGACACTTGGGGTTCCCTGTGCTGGCCTGGCAGTGTAGAATCATTAGGTTTTAAGTCCTTAGGAAGACAGGTTGGCTTTTGGCTGAGGTACTTGTGACGGGACAGCCCTTTGGGGCCCAGCTGGTTGTGGGCAGGGTCAGTCTCCTATTAGATTCACCTTTACCAGTACCCTTACCCTTGGTATTTGGCTTCTGTTCCTGTATTACCGGACGGTCACTTTGTGTGCTCTGAGTTCTTTTTTCCCACTTTGAATTTGGAATTTCCTTGCTATTTGCTAAGCTTTAAGACCTTTTAGGAGTTTTTTTAAAGAAATACTTTACACATTTTTTATGATCGTATTCAAAAACAGGGAGGTTGTTTTGAGATGGCCTTTGCCCATCGTTGCTGCAGATTGTAAATTGGAGGATGTTTCAACTGATGTGTCTCTCTATGCTTATTCTCTTTTGTTGAATGGACATTCTCTCCAATCGCATTGTGGTTTGATGTGGGAGAATAGGAATTGTTCCTTGGCTGGAGGATGTATACATGTCCTCTGGGGAATGGGTACTCTGGTTTATTTGGCAAAACTGTTTTTCAGGCCAGTGTTTATATATGTAAGCCAGTAACTAGTAGGGCCACTTAATGTCTTGTTGAGGTAGAAGCAAATATGGCCATCTCCTGGTAGACGGGATATGTATGTTCTGACTCCTTATTTTCCTGAGGGCTGTCTTACAGTCAGTCATAGAGAGTAGAGCACACACATTTAAATATTTTTTTTTCAACGTTTATTTATTTTTGGGACAGAGAGAGACAGAGCATGAACGGGGGAGGGGCAGAGAGAGAGGGAGACACAGAATCGGAAACAGGCTCCAGGCTCTGAGCCATCAGCCCAGAGCCCGACGCGGGGCTCGAACTCACGGACTCACGGACCGCGAGATCGTGACCTGGCTGAAGTCAGACGCTTAACCGACTGCGCCACCCAGGCGCCCCACATTTAAATATTTTTAAAATGGTGACTCTTGTGCAGACTCTACTTCAGCCTACATTTATTGATTCCTAGTGGGCATCGTTCTGAACATTATAGTCTTATTGTTGGAAGTTGACACAACTTGACAGAATTAGTGTTTTCATCAAGTAATGTCATCAATCTATATATAGCCTTCTTCACTTTACATTTGTTGTGACAAGCAAATGCAGGGAAGGTACTGTTATCTAGAGTATGAGATTTGTTTTCAGTAACTTAGCCATATTTTATTTCCCTATACATATTACATCTGTAGTGTTCCCTCTCAAGGTGCCTGGAAAACAAACAAAAACTTTGTATACCTTTTAAATGACAGGAACCGTGAGGCATTTCTTCTCCTTTTCACAAGCACTACTTTTACAAGTAGGCTTTGCCGTTCTTTTTTTTTTTTTTTTTTTTTTTGTCTGTTGAATGCAAAACACTAAACTTTTTTTTTTATTTATATATGAAATTTATTGTCAAATTGGTTTCCATACAATACCCAGTGCTCATCCCAAAAGGTGCCCTCCTCAATACCCATCACCCACCCTCTCCTTCCTCCCACCCCCCATCAACCCTTAGTCTGTTCTCAGTTCTCAACAGTCTCTTATGCTTTGGCTCTCTCCCACTCTAACCTCTTTTTTTTTTTTTTTCCTTCCCCTCCCCCATGGGTTCCTGTTAAGTTTCTCAGGATCCACATAAGAGTGAAACCATATGGTATCTGTCTTTCTCTGTATGGCTTATTTCACCTAGCATCACACTCTCCAGTTCCATCCACGTTGCTACAAAAGGCCATATTTCATTTTTTCTCATTGCCACA